GCCCGGGCCGCGCCCGTCGATCGTACTCAGGGCGTCGGCGGCCGCTGCCACACTCGCTGCTCTGACTCATGGCCTGGCGGAGGCGGCCCCGGCCACTTATTTCTCTGACTCGCGGCCCAGCCGCTCTCGCTACTCGTACTCAGGGTGTTGGCGGCCCCAGCCACACTCACCGCTCTGACTCGTGGCCTGGCGGAGGCGGTCCAGGCCATGCTCACCGCTCATGCTCAGGGTGTCGGTGGCCTCGGCCATGTTCTGGCTCACTGCTCTGCAATCAGAGCGCAATCCCTTGACCTATCGCGAAGCCTCGTCACTGGCCCACCAAAAAAAAAAAAGAAACTTGCCACTCAGACATGTGCCAACAGCCATTCGTTCTGTATTTAACCAAGGGTTGTAAAGAAATTCTAATGGCTCTTTTACCTTGATGAAAAGATAAAATTCACAAGCAAGTAACCCTAATGCCCCCTCCCAGCATGACTGCTCCCAACGTCTCTCACTCTTGCGGAAAATAAATGCCGACAACAGGCCCCAAACCATAATCCTCAGACTCCTTGCTGGTTCTAAAACTCACTGACTGGGCAAACCTGAGAGCCGCAATTTAGGGCCCATTCTCTTTTGGTCAGGAGACGTCTTACCAGGAAAACCTATCCTTGCAAACAAACCCAGAAGCCCACAGAAAGGCTGGAATCTTACAGAAACCGGATCACGATGGCGGCAGAAAAAAAAATAAAAAAATCGACCCTGCTTTTCCATTCCCCCTCCATTGCTTTTGTGCTCTTCTCCTGACTGGAAGGTCTCCGCAGCTCAGTACCCCCCCCCCAAAGCCCAGTCCAGGTCGCTGGAGTCTCCACACGTTTATACTCCCCATGTGGCGTTTGCCCTGCTGGAACTGAAGCACAGCAAAAAAGACCAGCTTAGGGAACCGTGAGTCTTCTCACAGACTGTTAACCCTGAAGAGGCCATTCTGACGAAGGGTTAGGACTCCTTACTGGGGATGGACTTGGCTGTCATAAAACAGTATTAACAGTCACTAAATAGTATTTCATCTATCATTTATGCTATGCTTCACAGATCATTGTAGTGTTACAGGCATCTTAAACAATCTTAAAAAGTACCTTAAAATAGAGTTATTTAAAAGCAATAACAATATTGCCACCATATAAAAACATAAGGAACATAAATAAAAAAATCTAAGCGAATCCGGGACTGTTAAGCTTAGACAGTATCCAAAGGGCGGCGACATCATACCCAATTAAAAATTCAGCTGAGGACAAAATAAAGTTGACATGCGTCTGATGACCAGAACTGTCCCCCATGCAAGGCGGAGAAATGCAGTCAGGATTTCAGTAAAAATGACTGACCATACTCGCCTGCGACAACGCGACTGGGGACACCGGCACACCGGAGCACCGCTAAGCTAAGTTAGCATCGGTCGTCTCTCTGGAGCTTACAGCCCCCCCCCACCAGCCTTTCCGCATCTGGCTGCAAGCCTCATCCTCGCTGCTGACGTCTTCGCAAAAATATTTCATTCTTTTCTGCAAGCTATTTTCGGTCGAGGCGAGTTCTTGTCCTCCAACCAACCCTGAAGGCGTGACGCCATCAGCGACGCCCGAATCGGCTGCCCCTTCCACGGCGCGGGGGGCTCCTCCTGACAGGACGTCCCAGGCCAGAAATAGAGCTGCACCATCACATTTCTTTTAATCCACTCTCTCCCGTCACCGCGAGTCCTTATCAGGGCTCAAGGAACAGCATGACTCAAACTGTCAGAAGGGAACAGGCTTCCGGTCAGTTCCAAACCTCGCATGGAGGGCCCTAACTCTGACAGCTGTGCTTATAGGCTCAGGAATCACAAGCTCCTATGTAAATGGACAGTTGGAGCACAATGTTCTCATCAAATCTCAAAGTAGAACGTTTGATTAGCTTAATTGAAAATCTATTATAAGCAAGCCTTAAGCATCGCGATATTGTGCCAGGTCTGTGCACACAGACTGTGGATGATCAGTCAGAACAACAGAATGTCCTGAGGTGTTTTTGCAGCATAAAAAACTGAGATGGGACCGGCCAGGTTTGGACCAGATGTTGAGAGAAGGGGGGGCCTCTGGGCTTCCAGCCGAGGGGCACATTCAGGGGCATCCTGAAGGGATGTGGATGGAGACTTATGTACCACAGGAAGAGGTGGCAGCTCTGGTTGCTCACCCCCCCTCTTCTCAGCACACAACCCCCACCCACCGGCATTCCTCAAGCCTCAATGCCAGGTCTCAGATTCACCCAAGTTCACAGTTTCAAACATGGCCGCCCGCACAAGATCGCCTCACCACTAGCCCTCCCTCTGAAGCCTAAGTGTCAACACTGTCAACAACTACAGGCACGTGATCAGTGCCCCTGGAGGGAGCCAGGGGAACAGCACCATAGGAGCCCCCACTGGCGGGGACACAAATCCGTACCAGGTCAACAGACACTGATCCACTTTGGCATGAAACCGACAAACAGACTCAGAGGAGGACTCTATCCAGCACATAAGGCACTTTACCTGAAATGTCATCTTGAAAATCAGGAAAACCTTTAATTAATCCATAAGTGAAAAAAAGCTATTTGTGCCAACTAATGCAGATTCTTAAAAGAATATGTATATTTTAAATTTCACTGAGAAAAACATTAGCAGGATGGGCTGCAACCTTATACCGGATACAGAGTTACAGCACATGGATGAATCACTTGTTTAAGGAAAAACCAGTACCAATTGTACTGAAAACTATATTATGAAAAAAATGCAGCATATTATGCAGAAAGACTTCTTTTTTTGAAGCGTGAGATATTTTACCATTCAGTTTAAAACACAATTTACAACAAAGCAGCGCGAGCTACAGCTTGAGAATTACATCAAAACATTTCAAGTGGGGAGAACATAACTCAGATCCAGTAGGGAAGGAAAGGAGGAAAACGAGCAGAGTGATAAGTACAGTGGTTAGTCCTGCATCTGACCCTGGCAAGGTGGCCTGTAATTACATCTCCCCAGGTAGTAGTTAGGGCCTGGAGGCCAACTCCTGCTAGCTAGTTCCAATGACGACTGACAGCACATATAGCTAAATATACTGTCAGGGTCCCAAACTAGCAATTTAAAGTAAGGATTTCCTAAAGCACTGGTTTCTTAATGCAGTTCAGGGGGGAAAAAATTGTAATACTTAGCTAGATTTCCTGGAATCCCGGTTTTAACAGTCTGCATGGTAAATGAACGCGCTGGGTTAGGTCCGAATGTATGTTGGGTTAGGCAGCTGAATAAACCCAGTAGTGCAGGATAGTTGGGTTAAGGAGCAAACGGGTGCAGCTCCTGCCCAGGATCCATGAAGATGAGCCATACACTAGCAGCCATGTAATATGGCTCTGGGGCATCGTGACCAATGGGAAGCCAGCAACACAGCAGCAGACTTCCTAAGTTAACCAGGCGTGTGCCGGCAGCTCCGTCTGTACGGCAGCGTCTGTTTCATCTTCTCGATCTTCTCTGTGACTGAAAACACGGACGGTGGCCCCAGCGACACCTACCGAGATACTCCATCAGCTGCTCCGCTGTTATGATCTCAATCATTGGCGGCATCTTGACCTGTAAGAAACAGGAACGGTTTAACGGGATGCACAGCAGCGTCTGTACAAAGTTCAAGAGTACGCTACGCAGCCATGGCACCAGTTCCATTTAAACCAGTCCATTTAAAATGACTTTCCTCTAATATGGCACTCATTTTCACAGCTTGCTGTCAGTTTTAATGACAGTTTCCGGCACAGGGATACAAATACTTATCCAGCATAGTCATCAAAGAGTCCAATTAAACACAACCTTTCTAATGCAGATAAAGTTGAGAGCTGAACTGCAGATTTTAGCAACTCCAGAAATTCAAAACCATTTTGCAGGAAGGGTCAAGCCCTTTGCTGTGAAGAGATAGCGGAGCAAGAAAAAGAAAAAAAAAACAGCATTTCAAAAAGCATAATGCAATGCAGAATCTCCACAAAAACAGAGAACATGGGTCTTCTCAGAAATCTGCTACTGAGCCAGGGGAGGATAATAGGCATCATTATGAGAAACTGAAGTAATATACACACCAATTCCCATAACATTTTGCAATGGGAAAGTGAAAAAGATTAAACAAACCCCAAAAATCAAGTTAAATAATCAGGCCTAGCAGACGGCGGGAGACAGCTGGTGAGGATCCTTCACCGTCACGTTTTACAAAAGTTACCAAGAGTCCCATATATGTTCTTTATTCCCAATGAGGTACTTACTTAGCACTCTGAGGGGTGCAAAAGCTTAGCATGACCCAAAGACATGGGGTAACTGGGTCACTTGTGGGCTAGATAGTGCCACCATGAATCAGAGACCTAAAAAGGTGTCAAAACCTTTGAAACGTAAAATTGAAGATATTTCGCTTTGTGTTCGAAAACAAAACATGCTAACCCACAGTAATGAGTGCATCAATAAAAATTTTAAATTCATTAACAGTGCCTTTCCATACATGTGAGCATTGTAACACAGATGTCTACAAGTAGTTCATGAATACAATATTAATTGAAATTTTAAAAAAAGTAATTAAGAAAAAGTAATTAATCTCAGTAGTTGATAAAATCCGTGTTGGAAAGACATAGGAGATGAGTGCAGATTCCCAGTACAGTTCACAAGCAGGCTAAGCACACGTCAACGACTTTCAGTCATCAAGGGAGCAAAAAAATAATAAAAAATTACCCTTTAATTACAAAACAGCCAAAATACACTGCAAAAGTTGTTGCTGCTCCCATTTCAGGCCTTACCACCCTAAAGGTGATCACCAAGACACTCAGTCATCTCACCATATGGCTAAAGCTAAACATAGGGGGAAAAAAACCTGTTTGCAGTTACACACAACTAAGATGGTGAATTATGCAGGAAATGTCCTGGGTCTGCTGCCTTGCCACACAGCAATCCCAGAGAGCAATGCCTCCAATCTAAGAATGCAAGTCCGTTTCCAAGACAACAGTTTTAAGATGCAAATGCAGGTGTTTGTCACAACGTGGAATTCAAATTATCATGCAGAAAATGCCTCATTAGCTAATTATTTAGTAGATGCTTCAGTGGCTTTCGGTACAACTGAAGAATGGTAAGTCTCAGTCACTGGACTGCAGCCAGACACATTAATAAAAACAAGTGGCTTTTCAGTAAATACTTTTGCATAAAAATGCCAAAACCTCAGTGTGTCCAACTCAATAATAGCTGAAGAACCTGAAAACGGTTCATCTAAAAGAGGGATCCCATACAGAGCCAGGTGAGAATAACTGGAAAATGGATATTGAAAGACATGTCCACATAGAGAAACATTCCAGCTCATTCACAGAACTGTCACGCTGACTGCTTTTGTGCCAGGAACAGAAACTGGCTTTCCAAAAGTTACCATACCACTAGTAATAAATACTTGAGGTCCTGCCTAATACTGGGGTTTGCTTCGGAGAAAGTTGTAATAATATAATGCTGTTTCAGTAAGGCGGCGGTCCTACCAAAACTGCTCAGAAATATACCACAGCAATAAACATTTAAACAGAAAAAAAATACAGAAATTAAACAATAGCTTTAGTAAATCAAACCTGGTTAAAAATCTTTTCGGTGATTATACGGGAAATTTATACTGGTCCCAGTATATCTACCAAATAACGAGGACCAGTTTTATATGTACATTTTGCGTCCAAATGACTTATTTTTGTGCAAAAGTAGCGGTTACAAAATATTTTCTAGGCAAAATAAAGAACAAATCTTGCGACATATGGGATGCCAATATTAATCAGTCTAAGTTGCGAAAGTCCGTGATTATCTTTCAGAATAATAAGCTTAAAGAAGAATCGAGAGATTTAAACGAAGAAATGAGAAACGCCATTATATACGTTTCACTTTCCCCAGGGCAAACTGTACCACTGCCGGGAAAGTGCATTACGTGTTACGCAACTACAAAGATTAAGTAGGTATCCTGTAATAAAACAAGAGCCGTATGATTTCTGGCCACAAGCAGTGCGTGGCCTTCAGGCGTCATCGGTTTCAGAAAGCCAATGGCACCTGAACTGTCCACCCACTGCCTTAATATCTGACTGACCGATCGTAGTATATAAATTTACCTTCCGTGCCAGCAAAAGGACATTCATAATAGCCAATAATGGGCACGGCCCGTTCTCGTTTTGTGTAATGATCGGTGTGTTTTCTTCTTTCCACTTGATCCACTTGATGTGATATATAGATTGGCCGGCGCCCCGGTCCTTAGTGCACGGGACTTTGGGTCCATCTGGCCCAAACTCGTCGTTTTGAAGAGCGATGGCCAGCACTTTGTCCTCTATTCCTTCACTGTTCAGGTCGGAACTGGGACATGAGTTGAGATTTGAGAAGGATTCCAAAGAATCAAAGCTTCGGGAATCAGCCGCAGGGCTCTGTTCGCTTCCACTCGCCGGCCCCTCGAATCCGGCGTGATCGCTGGAAATGATATCCTCCGATTTACTGGTAACTAAACTTGTTTCTCCAGGACACAGATGCGTCGGTGGCAACATCTTAGTCTGCTCTGCAGGCTCACAGTTAAGATCCCCAGTTTGCACATGTGTAATCCCAGGAGTTGGTGCATGTATCTCCGGAGAGTCACTGTCTGATTTATTTACCAACTTTGAGGTGGTACCGTCCATCTCCTTTGGGACCGAAGCCAGGCTGCACTCCATCCCGTTGCTCTGGTAGTCCCCCGGTTCGGACTGCTTTTCCGATAGACTGGTGGATTGCGTGTTCCTGTTCTGAGCAGGAGGGGAATCGTAAATTTCCATTCGGACATCTGATTTCTGAACACCAGCTAGGGCACTGGCAGTGTCTGCTGAAAGACTACTGGCGCCACTACTAGCCACCAAAGTACTGAGCACAGAAGGCTCGCTATTCTTGCAGCTATCGACAGTTGCTTTCACTACTTCAGGCGCTTTTATGTCGCTCGTTTCCCCGGCTATCGTTAAGCACGGAGTACCTCCTCCAAGATCTCGATGCAGGTTTGCACTTTTCTCCATGCCGATTTACGACAAAGCTGTTTTCTAACTAGACTGCAGCTCTTGCTCCGGTTCCAAAGACGCCATGACATCTCTACCTAGCTGACGTCACCGTAAGTGATACGCCTCTTCTTCAGGTCAAGGAAGGGCAATACTAAATAATACGATAGTTTACATTCGTTATGATTTTATTTTTTATGTTATGAAAAAAGCAGAATAATTATTAAATTAAATATAAAAGTATGAGATTTATAACCAATTTTATTTTGGTGCATTTTACTTCAGTGTGGGAGAAACTAATCACCGCTATACTTTTTAATCTTTATAAAGTTTTAGGAACATATTAAAAGCCAAGTAAGCAAACACGGGCGTCCGTTAAGTCAACTATAACAATATGTTACTGAAAACAGGTGCAAATGGTAGCGATTAGTCCTATAGTTATATCGTGTTCGATATGATTTGGTATTTTCTATTAAAATTAACAATGATTAAAAAGGATACATACATTGTATACTATTTATTCTGGCACTTATCTCACGTTTGACAGATCTTAAAGAGACCGTTAGTCTGGAATAGATTAAATAAGCGAAGACTGTGAAACTATTGGGATTTTTTTTTTGATAGTCGAATAAATTTATACCTAAATATCATATATGATTACGTGAACATATAATAATTTGATATAAATCATCATAACATTTGTCAAAACAAACAAGAATACGTGCACCACGCCCAGTTACATTAAGAGAGTGGACTTTCTATTCAACGTTCGTTGAACGCGGTGTGTTGTGATTGGATGAGATGAGCTCTGCTGACTTGCTGGCGAATCAGAACGAGCTTGTTTATTGTGCGTAGTAATAAAATATACCTTTAACCAAAACTTGCTTTCAGAGGTCTGCCGAACACTATACGTCGGATGTCATAAGGGCAAAGGCTTAATTCATCTGCGTTATAGCTTTCCAAAATAAAACTAATTCAAATGATAACGAGGTTAAAATTATCGACGTGTTATATAGAGCGTAATTTTAATATTGTGCTGTATCGAAACAACTCACTGAATGGTTTCAGGCATCGTACATTTTTTACAGGAATCACTTTGTTCTGATTAATTTATTGACATGGGAACCGTAGTTTAGGCGTAATCTTTGTAATTATCTGATTTCATCACATAATGATATAATAATTCAACTGGAGAACATCACAATCATCGATTTCAATCTTCAAACGTTCCTCTTCCGTGGCTCACGTAAATGCAGTACCGCCTATTACCGCAAAGGGGCAAACTGTACACAGTAGTGAATTTAAAGTGAACGTAAACGTACTCAGTTTTACACTTTTCATTCTGCGAATCAAAAGCTAATGGTTGGGCTTTATTATCAGTTGATGAGAGAACAAAAATGACCAAATCTGCTGGTGTTAATGGAGTAGCGTAGGTAGACATTCTTGGCTTTTGGTCAACCCAGAAATTGGGTTACCATTTGCTATCTGAAGTAATACAGGTCCCTCACTGCAAAATTTGCAGGCTATATAGGTGTGATGTCCCCCAAGCGTATAAATTATTATTTTTTTTGTATTCAGGGACCCATATCAAGTGCTAGGCCCTTGAATCAGCCAGGTTATCCATGCCCTTCCAACACATCTGCTCATTCCCTCTATCCATAAACACTTTCATTCATCGATGACTGCCTTTCCAGTATATACAGTTATCCTGGAGATTATCGCAAGAAGCACAAGGCACACGGACACCCTGCACTGGATGCCAGTCCATCAGAGGGCACACAGTGTCACAGTTTGGGCAATTCAAAGATGGCAATTCATATTTTTGACTGCTGGAGGAAATCTGTGTGAATATGGGGAGAATATGGAAACTCCTGAGACCATTGTCTTTGGGCCAAATGAGCCCCAGAGCCCCCTGTTATTGTTTGCAGCAGTCCATGAACACTGTGATCATTAAAATTTCCACAGCACTTATCAGACTAGCTGGGCCAGTACCAATGACCTGACTGACTTCTGGCTGTATTTTAAAACTCAAGGTGATCCAATTATCATTGAATAAAGGCGTAAAAATTAGAGTCTGGCACATGACACGTGGATCTTCTGCTGAACATGCACAGCTGGTGGTCGAGGTGAGTGATGATAACACGAACAATGCAATTCCCTACATAAATCCATAAATTATGAACATTGAATAATAAAAGGTAGGTGTCCCACTGTCACCTCATGTCTCCAGGGTTTGGGTTCAAATCCCTCCTTCTCTGTGCTTTTGTAACTTTTTTCAGGTTCTCTCTATATAAGGCAGATCTCCTCGCTCAGTCCAGGCTTAGGTCAAATGGCATAATGGCATCTGTAAATGTGTTTGTTTAATGCGATGGCCTAGTGTCCCCCACCTCCCCTTCTGGTAGTACCCCTGCCTTGTGCCCTATGTCATTGTTTTGCAAACCAGTCCATGGAGCTGGAAGGGAGAAAAAATATGGCACAAGGCAGGGGAACAACCTGAATAGGATGAGAAGAATTTTTTTTTTTTTTTTTTACAAATAAAGATCTCTTCAGCAAATTAAAGCTATATACATTTCTGTCGTCTATCAATGCATCTAGTCATCCATAGGTTTTCTTTTCCATTCCCAGAAATGAATGGCCAAACTATGGGACATATATTTGTTTTACACTAAGATGTTGAACTGAACAAGTACAGCAAAATGACATTCGTCACTTGAAGCCAGATTCAATATGACTAGTATGAAAAGTGTGTATAAAAAAAGAGGTCAGCGCCGTCACACTGTGGAATCGGTCGGCTTTGCCGGAATAGCGAGAGGCGTCTGTAAGCTGAGAGTGGGGGCGGAGCCGGCCTGCTGCCTGCGCGTGACGTCAGCCCGTTAGAGACTAGCCGCAAACAGCCGGAGACTATAGAAAGAGCTGCCGCTTCAAGGAAATCGCAACAATAAACTGTCCACGCTGTCAATGTTCACATAATGAATTTGGGCGCCATGTTCCAGTTGAAGCTCTTGCTTTTGTTTTACTTTGTAAGACATGCCGGGGGTAAGCAAAATTATTTTATTTATTGAAAGTGTTTTCGTGTCTTTCGGTTGAAACCACAGAAGGAGGAATGGGGAGTGAAGGCGCACTAGAGAAGCAGAGATAGCCGCAAAGGCAGCTAGCTAAAGAAGTAAACTGCTGGGAACCTGCTGCCTTGTGTGGGCGGAACCGGGGCGCGTCGGGACGCTTTCCCGGTAACCGCTCGGCCGGCAGGAGCCGCGGCTCTGGTGCGGGCTGAGCATTTTATCAGCCAAAAGTTTTCTGGTTAGTCGCGTTGTCGAATAGTGGTAGTGCGAGCTGTACAGTTGGGGGCTAACTAGTTACTTATCGCGTACAATATTTAGTAAGATGGGGGAACCGAGCTGTGAGTCCTGCAGCTAACTTGTTAGCTAGACTGGTTTGCTGCGACACTGTCTCAAACCTGGGTCACGGTGTTGTGAAAGCCCTGTGTTGACATCGTTTTCTCTCCGAGTTCATCAGTACATTTTTCCAACGAACTGCAATTTTCCCCGTCAGACTGGGGACACACTTTATTGAAACTGGCACCGATTTTTTCAACACGAAATGTCCGTAATAGGAAACGTAATTAGTTCTCTGATGTAATGTGAGAAAACACTTAGAAAAGGTGCAGAAATCCGGTTTTGTTCCTGTGAGGTTAGCTCGTTAGCAAGCTGGATGACAGCTGACTTTCTGCTCAGTAGTGCGTAGTGCTGCTGCATTAGAGGCACACTTACAGCAAGTAGGGTAAATGTGCTTTTCGCCCTTTCAAAAAAAAAAAAAAACTGAGAGCCTAAGTCTATGCAAGCATTTGGGTTAAGTATTTGATATACGGATTGGCACTGTTCAATTATTGACCTTTTATTCTGAGTACGCCACGATGCAGTTTATTCAAATGGAAATTTCGTGTGCCGACAGATAACCAGGACTCCTGTGTAAACACAATTTGTACCCTGAGCTAAATATTTTGCTTAGGAAAACAAGTTTATAGAAAATAAAGGCGGAAGTGAATTCAGCTTCTTGTATACTGCCGTGTAATCACATAATACGCCTTGTCTCTATAAAAGAGTTGTTCACACTGGAAGCAGTTTTTTATTTTAAATTCAAGCTAGTTGTATAGTTATTTAATGCTTATGTAGATTGTTTATAATCTAATCGATATGTACTTGATATTTTAATGTATATTTTTGTTTCTGGTTATTTACTCCAGGAAATTAAGAACATTACTCAAAAGATACAAGCAGCATTATCCTCTGGGAATTTGTAACTGTCTTCTATTGCCAGTCGTCTATTATCCTTACATTTCCTGTTAGCTGCTATGTTTATTGCAGCACAACATATTTTCTTGTGAGGACACTCCCTGCTTTTCGAACTCAGAGGCTTGTGGAGCAGTTGAACAGTAATGGTAATAGAATTATACCATTATTGATTTAACTTTATGAGCGTTTTCCTCCTTTTGAGAATATTTATCTTGTTTTATAAGTAAATTGAGGTTGCCTTCGGTCTGTTATACAAAATGAGAGTAACATCTATAAATTAAGTGCCTCTTTATTAAAACCCCAATTTATGCTTTTCTCCATGCATGACAAGGCTTTAAGTGGCCTGTAAGGCCTTTTTGCAGATGACTGAGATTGAATTGAGTATCACTGAAAGACCTTATGGGTTGTCACTTGTTCTCACAGGAATGTACTATTAGTAGACTGACTTTTTTCCCTTAAACCTGTTGTTGCACTTTGTCCAATTCAGTTACCTTTTAAACTGATTAACTTGTACTTGCAGTAGTCCAGATTTTAGAACTGAAGAACTGGGTCAGAATTCTATTTTAAAAAGACATTTTTCAAAATGTAAAATTGATCAAATGTAGAAATTCTGGTTCCAGTCCAAAATCTGTGATTGATGTCATGAGGTTTTCCCAATTAAGTGGGAATTGTTTGAGGTTTTTTTTTTTTTTTTTTGGCTTATATTGATGTGGCTTTATATTATGAGATGTAACTAAAGCATGATAGTAAGATGGAGTAATTTTTGTCAAATTATTATATAAATTGATGTACAGGTAAGTTACAGTGGAAAGTGTTCTGTATTTGTGGCTAAAAGCCCACTGTATGACATCGAGACACTTGTAACATAGCCCTTGTTTTGATTGGAATGATTCAGCTGGAGTTTTTGATGACATTTTATACTCTATTGATTTTTAATTTTTCTTTGTTCTGTGTTGCTTCTCATAAGCCCCACTCAGACATGCACTGCCATGTTGAACTTTTCTAGATATTCTAGAATCAGCCAGACCGGCCACTTAATGGACTTTTCCCTATTACCTCCCTTGTCCAAAGTCTGGGTAATTTCCTTTTGACTCCCATGTGTGAATGGAGCAGGGAATTGTCTGGAGTATTCACTGCAAGCGAGTGGCTGTGTTGGTGACGTTTCTATCTTGCGACTGGTGCAAGAATGTAAATGGGCAAAAAAATTGTGTTAGTAAGGGCCGGTGCTGAGATTTGTCTGACAGATTCAAGGAACGACAGACTCGGTTGTGTATGATCAAATTACAACCCGGCTACATGACCGAGGTGTAATTTGTATTAAGGTGCAGGCGAACAGCAAACATCTTTGAAGTGCTGTAAACAAAACACTGAGATTTCTGCAGCTTACTTTTTGCATCATGTCCTGCTCCTGTATGCTCTACCCAAGTGACACCCCTCATTTAAACCAACCCGAGTGTTTGTAGTAGGTGTGAATTCGCCCGAAATGGACAGTCTCTGGTTGTGGTTATGTTTAAGGGCAACTCCGGATAAAGTCTGGAGTTCATGTGTAAAAACGGCTTAAAGATAGAACTTAACAAATGTTCCCGATATCGGCTTGCTGTCATTTTGTTTCTTTAGTGATGTTTTAATTCCAAATCTATTTGAATATTATTGTGTAGGAGCCCTGCAATCACGGACTACCAGGCTCCAGAACAGTTTTTACCCATCTGGTTACTCGGCTCCCGTACTGTACAATACTGCCAGTCACTATTGCTAGTTACTTGTGACTATTTACTATATAAATTTGCGCTAAGTACTCTGTCTGCAACAGAGTATTACACTTGTCATCTTAATACATTGATAGCCACCTTACAATGGTGCTACTACCTGGTCTTTCTCACTATTTTTTACAAGACTTGTTTAATTTATTCCCGGCTTATTCCAATATATTTATCTTGGCTTTCTTTTTTTCTTTTATTTTACCTGTTTACCTTCTCCCTGTGTATTTGTGATTGTATGTGAGTTCATTTGAGGCTCTCCTCAAGCATTTTATTGTATGGATTTCTCTGCCATAACTGTGCATACAGCAAATACTTTGACTATACAAATGGATGGTCTGCAGAGGAAAACTGGACTACCATGGTGGCATGTGTGGCCTAATGAAATGGACCAAAGTGCTCAGCTGTTTCACTTGTGGAGACTTTCAAAGGTAAATAAGCAGTATTGCACAGCTAAACTGAAACCAGATCTCCAGGTTGCATTTTCCACAGACACTTCATGAGCAAAGTTTTCCATAATGTTGTGTATTTGTCAAAAGAGGAGGTCCAGCTAATGGGTAGCCATGGGTAATTACTGATCTGAAATGTCTTACAAGGTGTGACAATGATGATGGTTATTGTGTAAATTAGTGTCTATTCCCATAGAAAACAGAACTGCAGTGGCTGCTTTAATTATTCAGTCTGCAGGCAGAAGAGCCAGCTAATCTCTGCCTGCTGAGAGGAAATGTTATCAAATTGTTTCCAGCTAAAAGCCAGGCTTTCTCCAGTGTTAAGGTAAAAAAGCAGGCAAAGGAAATACGTGTAATTAGTAACTTTTGTGCAGCTTAGTTTTAAGCATTCGTTTTTGTTTTTCTCTCTCCTGTGGGAAAACCCTGTGTACCTTTACCATTCTGGGTTGCTTTATTTGTCCAGCAGCTTCCAAGGTTTTCCAACAAAATTTAACTTTGATCAGGAAAAGGTGAAATGTCTCTCTTCTCCCTCACAGTAACTAAGCTGGACTGAAAAGGCCATTAACGGGCTGGATTTACAGCATATTACTTTAGCTGACACACACTTCAGTGTGGTGAACAACTGGTACTGGCTGTGTGTACAGCACTGCATATGGTTGGTTTTCAGTCCTTTTTAATTTTGCAAGCTCTTTTCAAGGTTTATTTTACTCATCAGTCCGAAATTTGTTGTATTTTAACAGTGCTTTGTTTTGTGTTCCTTACACATGAGCTATGACCATGCCCAAAATGCTGCAGTGCTGTAAGGCCTCTGTTCCCTGGCTAATTTCCAGCTGTAACTTTCAATATCATTAAGAACAGAGCATTTTTCAAATGCCTACAAGCGTAAGATACAAATTGATTTTATTGGATCATGAGTTACCCTGTTGATATGGCAAAGAGACATGAAATGACTGCAAATGAAAATATAAGCTTATAAATGTTTCTGAATGAGGACGAGTGCTGTGATGTATATTAATGCAGGTAGAAGCATGAAGTGATTAGAGCTGGATTCAGTGTGGCCGTCTGACCTCTCAGTTGGGATTGCAGGAATATCTGTGTGTCTATGTATACTGTTGCTGCAGGAACGTTTGCTAACTTTAAATGTTATTCTTTGGAATGTACTTTTATCGGTTAAAGCGAGGGGTTCTAAAATAGCATGGTCACGGGGTGGGGGCTTCCTTCTCCTTGGCCTGGAAAGTCAAGTTACTGGCCCAGGCAGGCTGTTGTCTAGCCCTGTGCCTGCCTTTGTTAACGTTCATATTTGAACATGTTCTTACAAAGACACTAAACATTGAAATCATGATAGTTTTAAGAACTGGTTCAGACATGCTTTTAGCCCAGTTTGGTTGGGTGGTGATGAAAGCTTCACCCTATTGCTGGATTTTGCAGATGAAAATGATGGTCCATATGAAAACCTTTTAAATTCACTAATTGATTGCATAAAGCCAAAATACTAATAGATTAGATGCAATAGATACACTAATAAACTATTTACCAACCTG